TCTGGTTTCAGGTAGTTTCCCAAGACACATGCGTCGATCAGATCTCCCAGATTCTCTAGGCAGCCCCCTCCTCACTGTGTCCTATGCATGACCTCTGGCTGCCTCAGTCTCCCCCAGCTCTCAACCCTCTCCTGCGCTGGACTCTCCTGGGTCTCCCCTGGCCTGCAGTGCTGGGTCCTGGAGACTCCCCAGAGCTCACCATGTTTGTTTCCTCTCCCTCAGGTCCTTTGTTGCCTGACATCAAGTACCTGAAAGCCCGCCGTTTCATGCATTTTACCTGGGTTTTGGATGGCTTCAGGGGGAGGGTAAATCTGGGCCCTGCTCCATCATGGTCAGATGTGGGAGTTGCACACTGGCTTTTTTTTTTTTCTGGGATGGAGTCTTGCTCTGTCACCCAGACCCTGGGCGCTGGGTCACTCTCTGAGCTTTGGTGCCTGAGTCTGACAGTGAGCAGCAAATACCCACTGTAGGGGGCTCTGGCTGGCTGAAGGGGCAAGGGGAGAGCCTCTGAGTCAGGAGCCATTCCCGCTGGGGGCTACCTGAGATGCCACCAGGGGATGCTTGGTGGGCGGCTGGGCTTACGGTGACAACATGCAGGGCAAGGGTAAGGGCTGATTGCCAGCACGTGAGGCGCATGCATGGTACATAAGGCTGCAGCCCTGAGAGGTCTGAGTGGCCCTGTGTGTGCGCAGCCAGCTGGTGGCAGTGGCAGCAGAGGGCTCAGTGAGAGCAGCAGGCGCGCAGAGCTCAGCGGGCCAGAGTGCAGAGCAGACAGGGGTCCTAGCATCGTGCTGAGATTAGCCACCGTGTCTTGCAGCAACAGGGCCCAGGCGGGCGCGCCAGCTCTTCTGAGACAATCAGCCAGGCCCGCCAAGGGAGTGGCTGTTCTGGGAGCCTGAGCAGCTGCCCGCGATGCTCACCTGCTGCTTCCCTTATCCCTTCCAGGCCGCGCAGCTCGGAAGGAAGTGGCCGTGGGACTACGGGTGAACCGTCGCGCTTCCGAAAGGTAGGCAGCAGACCGTGGTGAGTGCGGGAGGCTGGGTACCTGGGGAAAGGAGCGGAGGTGGGGCCAGTGCTGCTTACAGAGGCAATGACACCAAGATCCGTTCAGACGCTGCTGCCAACGGGGTCTCTGGACAGATGTCCCTGTTGTCTACTCAGACATTACTTTAAAGTCTTTCAGGTGTAGGTCAAGAATGGGACTGTGGCGCGGAGGCAGTGGCGTCGATCGGGCCTGACTCACAGGCGACTTTGGGAACCAGAGCAGACCGTTGGAGGACTTAGGAGCCAGGAGTTTGAGGCGCAGTGACCGATTTGATTGCGACCATGTACCCAGCGCTGGGGGCGGACAGGAGTGAGAACTTGGTCTCTAATTTGGGAGTGGTGGTTTTTGAGGAAGAGCTCGTCGGCTGCTAGGTCAATCACGCTGGGTGGAGTTGGGTGGCGGATCGGTCGTGCGCAACGGGCGCAAGCTCCGGCTCCGTTCGACCCAGGTTCTCCTGCCTGCAGGCTCGGCGAGTAGCTGCGGACTGACAGGCGCCCACCACCACGCCTGCGTATGATTTTGCGTATCTTTTAGTGTAGGGAGAGGGGGTTGTCCACCAGTTGTTAGCCGCAGGAGGCCTCAACCTCCTGACCTCTATGATCCACCCGCCTCGAGCCGGTCCAAGAGTGCTGGGATTACAGACTTTTTTTTTTTTTTTGAATTGGAGACAAAGTCTTGCGCTGCTGATTGGCCCGGCTGGAGTGCAGGGTGGCCAGAGTAATCTCGGTGCGAGACTGCCACGCTGGGCTGTGTACCGTGGTTAAAGGGCATTCTCGGTGCCTGCAGCCTCGGAATGAGCTGGATACTACAGTGCAGCTGGCCACGAACATCGCCAGCTAATTTTGTGATATTCTTTATAAAGACGAGGTGGTTTCGGAAATTAGTGGCCAGGCTGTTCTTTGAACTGCCTGACCGCTCAGTGATCCTGCCGCGCGCGCTCGGCCCTGCTCAAAGGGTGGGATTAAGGCGACTGAGCACGGTACAGCCGGAGCCTAAATTTTTTGTTTAATTAATAAAAGGAGTAGTGAGGGATGGGAGGCGGGCCGCGGGGTGGCCGAAAGCGAGGTAATCCCAGTCCACTTTTGAAATGGAGGGCCAGACAGGGTGGATCACGGGGAGCGTCAGGAGGGATCGAGGCAGCATTCGGCTAAGCACGGGGTGACAAACCCCTCTGTATAAAGAGAAGTAGGGCAGTAAAAGGACGTAGGCCGGGGCGATGTGTGGCGGACGAGCTGTGGGGTATCCCAGGGGAGAGCTACGTCGGGAGAGGGGGGGACTGAGGCAGAGGAGGATTTATTGTGTGAACCCGGGAGCGGAGCGGTGCAGGAGCTGAGATGCCGCCGACTGCACTCAAGCGGCTGAGTACGGGTGTGACAGACGGAGACTCCTGCGAGAAAAAAAAGAAATAGGAAATTTCTAGCACCCCGTACGGTGGGGTCGCACATGGTAAGTCCGTAGCATATGGGAAGCCGGAGGGGGGACGGTGGATCACCTGGAGGAGTCAGAAGTTT